CATTTACGATGTCAGCCGGAATCCACCATAATGTAAAAAGTCAGGTTTTATTCATGTTCAATTTTCCTTTCATTTTTGTAGAAAAAGATAAATGTGAAGGAAACCTGAAGAATATGGTTCAAGATTGTGAAGAAAACACACACACCCAACAACACAATATAAAAACACTCCCTCCTCCCACTTGAGAAGTTATTTATTTTACACAAACAGAAAAAAATACATTTTCTGGTCATTATGAAGACGTGCAGCTCATGGCTCTCGGGTACGTATTTCTGCAAGCTGTGGCTCTGGTAGCTGGGTCTGCTGAGCCTGAGTCCAGCAGAGGGGTTATGCTGTGCTTCATGTAGGACAAGAGCAGGATGAATGCCAGTCCCCAGAGGCAGGCCACAAAGTTAGGAATGTCTGCTGCAAATGTCATCACAGGAAGGTTCTCCGGAAACACAAAGGAGGCCTGTATCTCCCTAACACAGGGGAAGAGCGGGGGCAGCAGTCTGGGCACCAGGCGGCAAGAAACTCCATCCTATTCGATTTGGCTTCCAGAACGGTTGGGTGCCACACCTTTCCTCCATGAAGGAGGGTGCCTAGAACAAACCTCCTGAAAAAATAAGTTATTGGGTGCCACACTGAGAACATCCAGGATGTGGAAGACAGAGGTGTCAGGGCCAGGCTTTCGGGTGAGGGAGATCTGCTAGAGGCACCTGCCTTACTCTATCCAGTCACGGAGCAGGGCTCTGTATCTGTGCTCACTCCAGCTCCCATTCGTCACTTTTCAGAGGCAGGCGTGGGCTCGGCATGCTGGGAGGCCTAGGGCTTCGTCTTCTGCTCAGAGCCCAGTGTGGGAATCAGACGGGGCCCTGCAGGTGTCCATCCGCCCCAGGTGCTGCTGCGGGCTCCGAGGATCAGTATCATCCTTTTAAAAGTCGAGGGCTGGAAAAACAAGCAAACTTACTTCTTCCCCCAAAAGTCAACTCTGGAGTCATTTCTCATGATAGGGTTTCCCAAGTCTGAATTTGTCTGCATGAGGTCTTGATCCTTGCTGTTCACATGGACCAGGGCTTGCCTTGGCCAGTTCTGCCCTGGACGGATACACTCAACAGGCTTAAAACATGGCCACAGATACGGTGTGTTCTTGGAGTTGTTTTCCTATCAATCAAGTCTTTTTTTAAAAAAAATATATTTTATTGATTTTTTACAGAGAGGAAGGGAGAGAGATAGAGTTAGAAACATCGATGAGAGAGAAACATCGATCAGCTGCCTCCTGCACATCTCCCACTGGGGATGTGCCCGCAACCCAGGTACATGCCCTTGACCGGAATCGAACCCGGGACCCTTCAGTCCGCAGGCTGACGCTCCATCCACTGAGCCAAACCGGTTTCGGCATCAATCAAGTCTTTACAACGATTTTGCAAGGACTCCGTGGTCACTGTCACATGTGCCAGCTCTGGTAGGGGCTCTGCAGGCTCAACTCAGCTTCTTCAATTATGCTTCCAGGTAGGTTTTAGTGTTTCCTTTTTAGAGAAAGAACCCCAAGCAGGGGAAGGTGAGACCCAATAACCACCCAAATTCACAGAGCTGGGATCGATCCAGGCCTGTGTTAGTCCAGAGCCAATGTCCACCTCTGACGATTCTGTTCAGGACAGTAAATGGAGCTGGGAAGGATAGATTTAAAAGTCTGGGGGGAAAGAGCTCACTTTTAAATCCCCCTCTTACTACTTTAGGACATTTTGTGTGGAATTTGCTTTCTGTTATGTAAATGATGCTCAAATGTTTGAGTGACAGGAATTTGTGGCACTCCCGGCATGAGGTAAGTACTACTAGTGGCCAGTAGGAGGCGCTGTGTTACATGCCTCTGGATAGTGACTCCAGACCGGTCATCACAACCTCTGCTGTAGGCGTCATCTCCCTAGTTTACAGATGGGGAAACCGAGGTACAGAGAGTGCGCTTCAAGGTGAAGAGATGGGGATGTGAGAACTGGACCAAGACCGCCTGTCTCAGGGGTCTGGGCTCGAAACCACAAGGCCACTCACAAGCACAAGGTTTGCCAAATTTCTCCTCAAGAACCACAGTCTGAAAGAATGGAATGAGTGAGTGAAGAGGAACCCTGTCGGGTTGTGGAAGGCAGCCCAACAGGCAGGCGGGGCCTTGGGAAGGCGGCTGGGACACCTGGGTGGGGGCTGGGCTCACACCCTGCCGGCAGTCCCGCAGAAGGACAGCTCGACGGTCACCCCCCTCGGCAAGAGCTGCTGTCTGCCTGGTGTCTCAGCCCCAAAAGTGCTCAAGCCTAAACGTGCTCCGCGCTTGCTGCTGAGCCCACGGCCGGGTTCGGGTGGCGGCTCTGACCCCCGTGCCTGGCCTGGCCTGATCCTCACGTGTTTTCCTGGGGCCCCTGACTGCCCGTCTCCCTGCCTTGTTTTCTCCTTTTGTAAACGTGGAGGATGCACAGGGGTACCTGGAGAGTCAGTGGGCAGGATGCCGGGAAACAATGGCTCCTGCCAGGTGTCACAGCCGTGGAGTCTGTGCTGAGCCCTGTGTCAAAGGCAGCTTCATTCTCCACGAAGCCCAGGGCACCTGGGCCCTTCGGGACACACATTCCCTTCCTCTGCATCGGATCTCTGCCTGCCAGCCCTTCCCCTCTCCACCTGCTCAGACCCAGCGTCCAGTTGGGAGAGGAGCCCAGGCCCCAGTGGGCTTTCCACTCAGGTGCGAGCGCGTGAGCACGGCTGGGATTTGTGGAACTCAACCTGAGCGAGTGAGGTCTCCGAGCTGTGACTGGAGCACTGGGCAGTGGGCGGGCAGTCACCGGTGAGCTGCCTTCTTAGAGGCCTGCGCACCTTTGCTCAGGTGAACAGGCACGTCTTGGCTACCCAGTGGGGGAAGAGGTGTGGGCACTGACTTGGCATGAAGCCCGCAGCCGTGCCCGCCACAGCTGTCCTCCAAGAGAATCGATTCTCCACGGCAGGGCCTGTTTGGGACACAGTGTCCGGGGACCCCAGGCCATCTCTGTGGCCACTGGCGGCAGGGAGGCACCCAAAACAGAGATTTCAAAGGCCTGTCTCTGGGGCAAGTCCCAGCTCCACAGAAACGGACCTCCCTGGACTGGGCTGAATGGGGACACTTGGGTGTAGGTGTCAACTATAACGTGGGTGGCCTGTTCCCAATGCATCTTTCCTGAACCCATTACGCCTATGACATGCACTGAAGATGCTTTCCTCTGTGAGCAGAGATTCCATCTGCTCACCCAACTCGCAGCGCTGCTCCTCGGTGGCCCCGCAGCCACGCGGGGTGGGGGCAGTGTGCTCACCACCTTCCCACAGGCCTCCCTCCCACGGCTCCTTCTGCACAACGTCCACCCTTCGGCCCAGTTCTCTCGGTTCTTTCGTAGAAAAGCGTTTACCACGGATGCGGGCGTTCCCGATGCTGGTCTCGGGAGGCGACTAAGCACTGGGAAATCCCACCATAGATGTGCCTTCCACCTCGCGTCACAGGCTCCCGAGATGGAAATGTTAGAGTTGCTTCTCGTGGAAGGAACGAAGATCTCACAGTTGAATTTTTGCCAAATCACAAAGATCTAAAAATTAGTGCACTACAATATATACAAATTATGTTTCCATATTGGTATCAGGGATAATCAGCCCGAATGAACAGAAAAAGAGCAAAAGAGAATATACCTCTGTTTGTTTTCTATGCTCGTATGTGTGTTTCCCTAATTAGTTCGGTGTTACTTGCTCTAACCCACGCCTAACATCCACACACGCAGCGTGGGGTCTGGGTCCTGAAGGTGGTGATCTGGGCACATGTCCTGCCTCCAGAACCTGCTGCTTGTTCTGCAGGAAGTTGAGTGACCTGCCAACGCCCCACTTCCCAGAACAACACAACACCTATGGGCAGGGGACTGTGGAGACAAAAGACATGTAGTCCCAGGGCCAGAACAGAGTGGTCATAAGAGGAAAAGGGCTTTGGATCGGGACCACCAGGTTCCAGTCTCGGTCCTGCCCATCCCCAGGCCACTCCCATAGGATCGGATCTGAGCTGAACTCCCCCGTCCGGAAAGGGGGATGAGGACCCCTCCCTCTGCCCACCGGCTGCACCGAGGACAACACCGACCAGTGGACAGGCTCCTGGGACAGGGCCTGGCTCTTAGTGACACTCTGCAGTCATCGGTGTTTCTGGGTACTGAGTGGACTACTTTAAAAAATAAAGTGGGGAAGGGTCCATTCGGTGCAACACTCGAGGCCTCAGGTTACAGTAACAGTCAGAATCTCAGGATGTGAATATCCGGAGAGAATCATTTTATAGACAGAATATGTGATGACATACATCCAGAGACTGGCAATCAGAGAGGCCCTTTGATAATTTATTTTATGCAATTATATGAGTTCCATAACATACTATTAAAGGCCGTATGAAATGAGACAGTGTGCGTACAGATATTAATCTTAAAAGAAACTCAAAGTAAATGAAGAATGATCGTGTCGCTTAATTGAAGGTTCATAAATGTAACTGAACACTGAGCAGATATGAGGAGACAATGTGAGGGAGGCCTGGCTCTGGGGCATTATTTACTCCAACAGACCTAGGGTTGCCTTGGAGACTCCGAGTTTGCAGTGTTACCTGGTATTTACAGATTTTAGAGAGAGGCACGTGTCACGGTACCTCCCCAACCCATGGCTTTGGGCAGGCAGAGGGGTGGGTTACCTGATCGATTAAGGCTGAGAAGTTCCCACTTCTGCGAATCGTCACACCTGTCATGAGCTTCAGCCCACCAGTGTCTCCAGGGGCCCCATCAGCAGTCTCAGGGGGAGTGTCTGCCTCCTTCCTGCCCCCCAATTTTATATACAACTACATGTGAAACCGAATGTCATGGCTCATTTTTTAAGGCAGAGAGCCAATAAGCCAATTTGTTGTGGAAAATGCATACGCATACGAAAGAAAACATATCTGATAAGGACACAGTGAAGAGAAATGATTTGTACCTTAAGTTGAAAAACTAACATTAAAAAATAGTGAACGAGCATTTTAATACCCTTTAAAATACCACAAAAAAAGATACTTGGTCCTGTAGGTGTTGGGACTGTTGCTAAAATGCTATTATTTTTCTCTCTTGTTTTATCTTTCTTGAACGAATGCTTTGAAAGAAGATACCACGGGGGTCAAGCTCCACTGGTACCTTATCGGATGACAATTCCCCCTTGAGGAATGAAAAAAAAATTATGATTAAAAAAATTATGATTAAAGGCATCATGAAGATGTAGTTTTGTTTTTCAGATTCATTTTTTTTTTCCTGGCCGAGAGGAGGGCTTTCAGCGGCGAGACCGGAGCAATTGTGAAAGGAAGAAAAGAAGGGCAGCGATATAAATCAGCGGAGGTTAATGACTGGGATGTGAAGAGGGGGACTTGTTTACAGAAATACCGTGCAATTTAAAATTTACAAGAGATTTAATGCCACCGCCTGGCAATCGCTAAAATCAACAGCCCAGAAAACAGTGACATTAAGAAAAATATTACAGTTATAATCATCCCCAAATAAGTCAATTAGTGTGAGGGCGCCGGCTCGCGATTACTTGACCCATTTGGCTTGCACTTAAGTGAAAAAAAATGTCCCCCTATTATACCGAGATCGCTGGATTGTGACCTGCTTTGCATCGCACATAATGTACGCCAGCCCCCTGCGCGAGGGCTTGGGCTGAGGGTGGAGGGGGTCCCTTGCTTGGCATCAGAATAATTCTGACCCCTGACATTTGTAATCATAAAAAAAGGCAATTTATAATTGTGTTGTTCAAATGAAGGTGGGGAGGGAAATTCAATCTGCTATTATACAAAAGCAATGACGGCTGTCTTCGCGGAAAAAAAGCAACGCAAGTCAATTTGTGAACTTTGGCACCGGACGACCTTTAGAAACACAACAATATACCGAATTTACAAGCAACAGCAGCCCATGCAAATGACCCGGGCCGGGCCTCCGGATCAGAACTGCGCGGAGCATTACAGAGAATGCGTCCACAAAACAAATTAAGACTGTTGCTTAAATGTCACGGCGCACTATTGTGTTTGGCTACAGATCATTACACCTGATACTAACACTTTTAAAAACTGTAATAACTTGGGAAATATTACGTTGAGTGCCCACATGTATAAAGCAAAAGAAAAAAGAGGAGGAAATAGGTTTCTGAATTAATTTAAACATCACCACTCTATGACTGAAGGGAAAGGTCAGAATTTAAGTAAGCTGAAAGGAACATGAATGGTAAAATAAAACACACAAACAAAAAGATGGAAAGACCACAGGAATGAGTCTGCAAACACAAAAGGGGTGCATGCGGCTTCAGGCTGCATTTCCATGTCTGCGGGGGGTGGGGGGGGAGTGCTGGCGGAAGGGGGGACAGCGTTACCTTCAGTGTTGGTGCTGCTGCTGCTGTATATATTTCGCAGGCTACCAACACGGTTTAGTTTCCATGCTTTGCGTTTGGCTGCATCCAGAGAGCAGAAAGGGGAGAGGGGGAGAAAGACAGAAAACAAAAAGGAGAAGAAATCAAATGAAAAGGGGAGAAAAGAAATGTCAAAGTAGCACGTGACATCACGTCCATCTGTTCCCGGAGGGGCGGTGGGTGCTGGTGGGTCCCCGCTGGTCCCTTCCCGCCCCCCCAGCCCACCCCCACCCGCCACTGCCAGCCTGTAGCACAGGGAACCTGGGCAGGACAGAGGCGTGCCTGCCAGTGTCATTAGGTTTGCACAGAATCAAACAGAGGCCAGGCACCCTGGTTTTACACGTGGCTACTTCCAACCATGCCAAGCTGGCCTTTTCCTTGGGGACTGGTGGCATCTTTTGAAGGAGCTATGATGCCAGTAGCCATGAGCCCTCTGATTTGGCAAAACCTGGCAGCATGTCAAATCTAGAGCTCCTGGTGATGAGCAGTTCCTGTGTGTGCTGTGGACAGAGGTCTTAACACTCAGCTGATAAAAGATGAAGCCCTCCCCGCACCCCCCCCCCCCGACCAGACATATGAGCATATTTGGATCTGGACAGTAATCACGTCAGCAAAACCCTGCTACCACCTGGCTGCTGCTGAAGGGTGGAGGCCCCTTCTTACGGGGCCTCCGGGGGCTCTGGATGGAGCTCCCAGGACCCCCAAGAGCACACGTGCCTCCTTACGTGCTCAGCTCACTGGAGGAAGCATCAGAAAGAAAAAGCAAATACCAAGTTACCCCGAGAGGAGCAAGTGACCCACGGAGGAACCCTGGGTTGGGAAGTCAAAGGCAGAACCAATCTAACACGGGCGGACCCCACTCCTCACACTGTGCAGTGACTGGTTGGGGTGAGAGGGGCCCCGATGCTCCTCTGGGGAGACAGTCTCAGTTCATCAGCCCCACCCCCCAGACTCAGAACGTGAGACCCGTGAAGGACCCTAACCAGACCACCTGTCTCTCTCCATGTCCACAGCCGGGAAGAGAAACTGGTCAGCCCTCCCATGAGGCTCTTTGGATGACCACGCACACCTGGGGAGGCAGGTGCCTGCATTTGCACAGGAGTCTTGATGCTCACAGCACAGAAAAGAGGCCTGGACAGGTCTCTCATGCCCACCCGCTCCTCACTTAGGACGGGTTGGCTGCTCCTGCCTGCGGTGGGGTTTACCTCAAAGAGTGTGGTGTAGGCTCTGGTGTGCCCAGTTCAATGACCTGGGGGAGGACTGGGTCTCCAGGACCAGTTCTGCTGCGGAAGCGAACCCCGAGTGCCTGGGTGCGTATTGGGTTTCTTTGGAGTGACGATAGAAAATACATGCACAAAACGTGGACATTCAAGGAAGCAGATGCAATTCTGAAGCAGCACAGTTCTGTGTATTCAGAGGCAAATTTTATATAATGGTGAGAAAAAGAACTAGCTGTCATTTACTTGTCACCTGATTTAAAGAGAAACAGTTAAATTTTAACTAAACACCTAAGAATGACTTGGTAGCTTCAAAACAAGAAATAATAAGAAATGCAATCTCGAAACGAGTAGGCGTCTACAGTGTATGGGTCTAAACTTAATTTTTTCATGGGTGGAGACGTCTCCCTCATCTCTACATCCTCAAGGTATCGATAAGGTACCCATCCCAGGTAACAGCGCACCTGGGAAAGGGCCTTCAGGTACCCACCAGTACAAACGTCATGCCTACAAGGAACCGAACTGGTCAGTTTTCAAGTGTTTCCTTTAGAGACGTTCAGCGGAGAATTACCAGGTTCCTCAGGGGTAACGGACACTTTCGCTGTGCCCTTAATTATTTCAATAGCCGAAGTCCTGGCATCTTGGCCCATAATTCACAAGTTCCAGAAAGTAGCAGTCAGAGAGCCCTGCTCCTCACGGAAAACTAGCCTCTGTCGGCAACATTTACATATAAATAGGCACAGTGTGGTCAGGGCGCAGGAGGGGGAAGCGCCATCGAAAACCCTCTCTGGCCCGCGCTATGCTTGCATTTTTCATGCCCTGGTCTCCCATTACTGTATGGAAGTATAAGCAGGAAGTGAACTCGCAGCCTGGTTTTCTATTAACCTATTGATGAAATAATCAATTTTAATGTGTAGAATGTCATGCCTTTTTCTTCTCCTAAAACAAATGGACTTTTCCTGGCTGATGCCAAGGTCCTGATACGAGCATTCGTCTCCCGGGGCACTGATTGCTCCAAGTCCACTGGGTTAGAAGCTTCAACACGAAAATACAATCGTATGATCATCGCTAAAACCTCAGGCTGTGTGCGACGCGGCTGCCCGGACTCACCTCTAAGGGAAACGGAGGCATCGCACCAAAGGGACCCGGGAGTGCTCAACCTGAGGCTGCTGGCTGGATACCGGGTCCGGCCTGACCACCACACACCTGAGCCACGTGCGGGGGGCACCCCCCGGCTCTCAGGCCTCTGAAATAGGCAGCGATTCTCGAGGACTTCACGTAGACGAGCTCAAAAAACTACATTTTCTGGGTAATCTTTGTTTTGAGAAATTCTTTTTTTTTTTTTTTTGGAAAAAATATTACAGGAATATAGTTTCTTCCATTTAAATGTAGGCTGACTTATTTTGACTTTTGTCACTAACGTTATTTGTTTTTTCACAAAAACTATTATTTTAAAACCAGAATTTCACCTGTTATTGGGCAAAGGCAGCAGAGCCTCTCAATGGCCGCCCAGCCTGAGCAAGAGCGACGTTCTGAAGGAGAAAGGCTGGTGAAAGGCCAAGTCACAGGCCCTCTCTGCACGGCGTCGGTGTCTGGTGGACAGAATGAGGAGGGGCGCGATCGCTCACCTCCTCGTAATTGCTCCCAGTCACGGCCTTCTCAGAGGAGACAGAGCGAGGAAAACTCGCAAATCACGGCTGTGCTGAGTAGGAGTTGCTGGAATCACTTAGCGTTAACGTCTCGCAATTATTACATGTGGCCGAATTTGGTGGAAGCAACAACTTTTCCTGAGAGTTCATGCGATGATCACGAGTGAATTAAAATTTTATTTTAAAGGAGAATTTCTATTTTGTTTCTCTAAGCAAAATATTGTTTCCTCCTTACAGCATGTGAGTGCCTGAGGACTACTCACAGACAGATCTCCAAGACGAGACTCTTCCGACCAGCGCTTAATAAATGGACTAAAAAGAGTCCTTAGTCTGCTGGCACGCTCCAACGAGCAGGGTTTTATCCTCAACTCTTCCTCCCGCACCGCACCAGGAGACCAGGGCTTACACCAATGTCACCTCTGGTCTCCTTCCGCTAGAGCTCTTTGTTGACTGAGTGTTCCTCAGGTAGCTGGTGAAAAGACAACACAGCCAGGAGGGTGCATGTCCGAACCCTGTGCACCCCACTTATGTCCGAGGGTGAGGGCCAACTGGGCTGGCAAGGTGAGGCTCTGCAGACCCCAGAGTCAATTTTGAGAACGAACAGGGTCTTTTTGTGTGCCACTCACTCCTGACATGTCTCAGAACAAAACAAATACCCCCTCCATCCATTCAAAAGGGTGCACACCTGTGCCTCTCAGAGAAGCCACGTGGCAACCTGGTCAGACAGCACGACCCTGTCCACTTCGGACGTGTAGCTATTTGTTTTAAGGATGCCGTCGGTATAAGGCTGCCTGTGCAGCAGAGAGGAGGCCTGTGCTCCCGGGAGCAGTTCACACTGACGCTGGCCCCAGGACGCTGAGTGGGAAATGGCCCCTCCCTCCCTCGGGAAGGGCATAGGCAGCAGCAGATTCCACTGTGGTTTCCTGACTCTTCCAGTTTAGTGCACTCCGGTATCGCCGTGATCTTTGTCCGTGGCGATTTCACTGCGAGGTTAGAGATCGGGGATTTCTTTTGTGCTGGCCTCATGGACCTTCATTTGCTCGACAAGACTGTGTACACATTCTCTTCTCCTCTGAACAGGCCGTGGCGTTTTTCATAAGACGCAGCCCCGAAGATTCGCACAGGATGTGAACTTGCTGCTTCCGCTGTGAAGGGGCTTCCTAGAGGCGGCCACACAGAGAAGTCATTGTGTTGAAACACCCATTAAAAGGGCCTTTGAGAGGATTAAACAAAACCCGAGGCCAAGCCAATCTAGGACGTGTGTTCAGGAAGCAGCCTAACTTGGTCGTTGGCAGGTTCCAGCAAGACCAGGGTCCTTTTCCCAATTCGGGGCCCAAGAAGGCAGGATGAATATCTGACGAAGTAAAACTCCGAAATAAGTAATCACCTCTTCATGATAAACTTTTGATTCAGTTTCTAGTAACTCATAATGGCTTCCTTTACAGCAAATACAATTTCCATGTCGGTGGCTTCGTTTAAAGCTCTTGGATTTGCAAACTGCCAGGGCTTCTACAGAGTGGGCTAATGCAGACACTTACAGAAAATGCCATTAACCCTGGGAAACAGTGAAAATAAAAACTAAGTAAAAACTACAGGATACGCCATAAAACCAGAAGTTCCAATTAGGTAGAGAGCAGTTTTCCTTTCGGCCTGGAAACACACTGAGCACTGAGCGTGGGTTCAGGTGCACCCGGGATTAATTGGGTATTTCTTCCAGCACCAAGAATGTCCACCTGTCACCAGGGCTAAAAGGAGAGGTGACTGCGGGGGACATGCCCTTTATGATAAACCTGTCATGTGGAAGTTTAGTTTGGCATGTTCTCAGGTGGAGATTAGAAATACATCCCTAAGTCGTGGAAACTTCTCTCCTTGTCTTCACAGAGTAGCTGTTCATTTGGAGAAGGGAGAGCTGTTGTTGTTGTTTTTTTTTGGGGGGGGGCTTATTAACAAGTTGAAATTGGGGCTCCTTGGCCTCAGGGTTGATTCTGTTCTGAGTGTAGGATGAGGTAGAACAGGAACTGGCCATGACGTGGCAGCACCAGAAATACTCTGCTTTCGTGTTTTAGGCCTCCCTTCTCAGTGAGCACTGTCACATCCCCCTAATCATTGCGTGGTTGTCCTTCAAAATAGAAACAAACGGCAGACCGAATTCTCACTTCAGAAAACGCGAGGTTCAGCTGT